AAAGGAAAAAGAGCCCTTTTTTTCCAAATAAAAAGTTAGTTTGATACATTTGAATATTCGACTTTATTGCAAAAACTACACAGTTTCAGAACACGATAAGAGAGAATGTGAATGATATTATTTAATCCTGCTTGAACGAAAGAAATCAGTTTTTTAAGGAGCAGTTCACGTCGAAATGCAATCCATTGAATTTGGACTTTCCCAGGAATCTATTTTTGATCTCCTACTCTTCATCATTACAAGAATGATATTGATAACTGTTCTTACCATCTTCATGCTATTCCTTACGCTGGCGATATGGATCTGATAAAAAAACACGACAAAAACTTTTTCAAGGCTGAACTGATGAGGTGGTACACAATTGGCTTTTTTAAATTGAATTATCCCATAAGACTGATAGTTTTTCGGACTAGTAGTTTTTTCTGGTACTTCTTTCGGAATTTTGTCATCAATTGAGAAAAATCTTGAATTCAAAACAAATAGTGAGAGCATATAAAACTTGTGTACAGCTAACAACATTAAACGACAAGCAAGACTAAGTTAAATGAGTTAGGAAATATACGTCGTACTTTGTTTCTGATTATGTTTCTCAGAAAGCTATATCAGTAAAAAATATAACATTATTCAACATAAAACTTGTTTCATACATAACTCGTATCATAAGGAAATTCCGAAGCTTTTAAGCACGTCAAAACGTGGTGATAAAATAGGAATTTTAGTGAAATCTTTTTCCAACAACGGATATTTGGATAAGTTTGCTAATAGCTGGTTTTGTTCACAGAAACTAAACACGAGGCAAAACGGTTTGACAAATATTCAATTTCTTAGTTTGCGGATTAGATCTATCATTTAACAATTAAGGGCTCTTTTCCAGTTCCCCCCCCCCCCCCCCCCAACCTTTCAAATTCAATTTTGAAAAGCTTATTTAGCGTGGTCAAATTGCAATGAAATTTGGCGTGGTGAACAAATCGACAATTCTGAACAGATTTGTTCTTCATACTTAACAGCGTAACATCACGCATTTAGCCGTAATAGCACGTAAAACAAACATAAGACTCGGAATTTTGAAAGGGGGGAAACTGGAAAAGAGCCCAATTAAGATTCACTTTTGGAAAGATTTTTGAACTTTAACCAAAAGTCTCTCAAAAATTTGATTGGACAATTTTTGGCTCTTTTCCAGTCCCCCCCCCCCATTTCAAAATACCGAGTTTTATGTTTGTTTTACGTGTTATTACGGCTAAATGCGTGATGTTACGCTGTAAAGTATGAAGAACAAATCTGTTCAGAATTGTCGATTTGTTCACCACGCCAAATTTCATTGCATTATGACAATGTTAAATAGACTTTTCAGTATTGAATTTGAAAGGGGGGGAACTGGAAAAGAGCCCAATTTTTATCACAGTTTTCTTGATGCTCATAAACTGGGTTGCTCATACTATTTCTGATAAACTTTGGAGTATTGTTCTAATTGTAGTGTTGTTTTTGCCGAGGAGGCACTGGCCAGTTTTTTCATACCAAAAATTTTGTGTTTATTATACGAATGAGATATAATTCACAACTATTCTGCATTCTCGGGCATCCCTTGGCAGATTTCGGCTCTTTTTCCTCCCCCCACCTCACGCCAGTTTCAACTTATTAGTGTAACGAGTTGTTTTACGAGGTTGAGTATGAAGACCAAATATGTTTGCCGTGGCTTTATTAGTCATTAAATTTTCATAACAATCGGACAATGTGGTCAACAAATTTACATGTAAAAATTTGCAGGTGGGGGGAAAAGGAAAAAGAGCCCAGATTTCTTTAGAGTTTTATAGAATGCTCTCTCAAACCTATATTAATCAGAATTTAATGAACTCAATTTTGTGGGTACAATTGGTGTAAAAACAATTTATGATTATTATTTTGATTTACACTGAAATGTGATTTTCAGGAAGCCCTTTCTTGAAACGATCCCCTTTCCAGAGAATCTAATAACTTTTTTTGAGTTATATTTACATGTGAATTGCTCGAAACCTTTTCTTGAAACCAGCCCATTTTCAGAGAAACTAATAACTTTTTTGAGTTATATTAAAAAATGAATTCTAGGAAGCCCCTTCTCGAAACCAGCTCCAAAATACGTCTATAAGGAAACTGTGAAAGTATTCCCCGACTTTAAAAGAGTTCACCCAACTCATCACGATATAGCTCTCATTAACTTCCATGAAGCTCAGTTTAACGATGAAAACATACTAGATCTGTGTGAGACAACTACATACAAAAACCTCCGAATTCTCGGTATGCAATCGGGAGACCCAAAGCATCCATCAAAGAGCACAGATAGTGATGTTATTCAAGAAACTGAAGTGGAAAAAATAAAGAAGCAGAAAAACTGGTCTATTAAATGCGGTCCCAAGTTTCACTTGGACTCAATGCTATGCTTTAACGGACATATTGCACATATGGGAGACTCAGGTATTTTTACAGTGGCAAATCCTTTTGTTGAAAAAAAAACAGTTCACATTTTTTTGCTCTTTTGTCATTAACCACAACTCTGTCAACTATATACTCATTTATTAAATGCGCTTTGGGCTCTTTTTCGAACACCCCCTTCCTCCACTTCGCATGAGCATCAATTTTATGTTATGGTGTAACGAGTAATTTTACAAGATTGGTTGTGAAGGCAAAATACGTTTGTCATGACCTAATTAGTCTGCCGGAAAACTTTCATAACATTCGGATAATGCGAACAATTTTTTCATTTGTAAACATTTGCAGGTGAGGGAGAGGAAAAAGAGCTGCGTAGTTGTGGCATTGTTGTGGCATGAGGCTCTTTTTTGCATGAGGCACTTAGCATAAAGGTAAGGCCTTGCTAGGTAAGGTATTGCTACTTTTCTTTAATTTTCTTCGCTATTATGGATTCCAAGAACAAGTAGCTCAAACACTGTTAAATTTGCGGAATCCGGAACATTTTGTGGAATCCACAAACAAATGAAAACATGCAAGCATAATGAAATTAGGTTGTCGCAACTGTAAGCGGAATCCGCGACAAAACTAATGTGCCGACAAAATTTATGTTCCTCGTATTTGTACGAGGAATCCACGGAAATCTAGTAAATCTCATTTTATTACATTTTGGAACATGTATAAAGATTTGTCTCTAGATCCCAGTGAGCTAGAAGCAACAAATTAAGCGCCTATCTTGGGCATTCTTTTACCGCTTAATGAAAAAAAGCAAAACAAAAAAATTTAGGTCCAATAAAAATTGTTTTAGGAGGACCCGTGATCTCAGGAGAAGTACTTGCAACAAGAAAGAAACCAGGTGAAAGCAAGTATAAACCTGAATGTCTTTACGGGGTCATTTCTCACATAGTTAAACCAAAGGGAAGCGAGAAACATAAAAACCTGATTGCACCTCGCATCTTCTACTACCTCAAATGGATCCGCGAAAACATGAAAACCCAATGAAACCTGAATTGATGAATTTTAACTGGCAATCGTCTTCATATAATTCCAGTCTCAAACTTTCCCTAAGAATGGAATTAATATCAGGGACAAGGATAGGTCTTAAGAATTTGATCAATAGTCTCTTTGAGTAACTGTTCGTACGAAAATTCGAAAAACGTTATGTTATTGTATTTTTGAAAATTGGCATCACCTGTTCAAGTCTCTTTAAAGCATTTTCCTGTACAGTTTACAGAAAATACTTGCACAGAAAATTACAGCACAGAAAACTACTTGCATGGAATAAACATGAAAAAAAATTTCCGTGCCTGGTTTTTAACATGCTGTATCAACATAGTATCAACATGCTGTCTCAAATTTTGCATGTATCAAATTATTGTCTAATACCAAATTTGAAATAACCTACAATCGCCGCTTTTCTGTTTCGTGACCGAAATTTTCCGCCTGATTCGTTTCCTGTTGATTGCTTTTAAAGTGAAACTTAAACAAATCGAGCTGGTAAAATTACAACCAATGTGAAAAGCAAATTTCGATTCGGCCGGATTTTTAACATGCTTAAAATAACTACAGTGAAAATTGTTTACAGCTAAAAATAAACAATTCTTTTACTAAGCAGATAAAACATAAGCAGACAAATAATGGACCGAAATTTTTTTGAACCGGAAAATTTACTGTTTTAAAACACTAGTCCTGGTTAGATCCGAATTCAGAACTCTTGCCGTTCCAAGCGTATTCATTACCACCAGGCTAAGTGCGTAAGAGACACTACAAAGTTTGAATTTATGATGAACCAAAGGACCACCAGGAGTCCTGTGGAGTGGACAGTTGTTTACGGGAAAAACGTCTAGTACCCGACTGCAATACCTTATAACAATAAATAATAAATTCGTTTTCAAAAAGGGAACAGACTCGATTATGATTTACGTAACTCAAAATAATAGTGTAAAAAATCTTATCTTCGATGAACACCAAAAAGCCAGTTAGCTGCCTATCGATTGGTGTTTTCATGCGCACACAACAAAGAACACATTTGATTTCCGATTACCAAAAACATTCAACAAAAACTCGTTATCACGAATGTACAGATCCTGTACAAGATGCAGAACTGATTTTAATTGACTCTTTTGACAATTCAATAAGTACTCAATTAACTTATTGTCTAATGTATAGAAATGATTAGGTAATGAACGAACCCTACTTTAATTTTTTTTCTTGTGGCTCGTCTTTTTTTCTGTGTTTCGTAACCTGAATTTACATTTGTCATTCGAGAATGCGTCAAGAATTTCTTGATTGCTGATTATTTCATTGATTGGTAAGCATGAGTGCTTCCTCCTTATGATTTTAGTCATTAACTTCAATAGTTCAAATATATACAACTCCCTGTTGTAACAGAGCTTGAGCTTGTCTTTTAGTTTTCGGAGACTGTCTTGTTTTCGCAAATTGAAGCAATTTCAATCTCAGCTTTTGTTGTTTTTCAATTTTCCTTAATTCGGTTTTAGTAGCAATTTTATATATTTCTGCCTTGTCGTTTTCTCTTGAAAACTTGCCCTGGTCGCCGTTAATTATTTTGATAAATTTTGAATTCAACTGTTACTATAAAAATATCATCTCTAAATATATCAATTCCAGTAATTTGAATAATATGAACTTTTTTCGTTATTTAAGTTGATTTATTACATGGCATTTAATCCGCGTTTCCTCCATACGCTTTCATGGCTAACTTCAACACACTTTCAGCGTGAATCGTTTTTTCGATCCAATCCATCGGAATTCCCTCCAGCCCGAACTTAGCCCCGCACATAGCTCCGATGAAAAACGACCTCGAACAATTGCAACCCCCCGCGCGAATCGTTTTTCGAACTGCCTCCTCGTACGAATTTGATGTCACCACTGCGTGTATAGCCCCTTGGAAAGATCCAGGGTTATAGCAAGGGCTTCCAAATACATAAATCACCGCTTTGACATGGTCCATTTTTTCTGATACTACATTCTCAATACCAGCTATGCTTTTAGACACGTCAGGGTATTTTGATTTGATTTCATCCTTGATGCTCAGAATATTGTAAGTCGGGTCTTGGATCAACTTTCTTATGATTTCCGAAGCTACCATTCCGTGGCTTACGGAAGTAGGGTAGGATGAAAGAGTTTGAATCACTTCGTTGGAAATTTTGTCCATATTTTTTTCATCTGCAAATTTGCATACGAGAGGCAAATTCAGACAGAATCCATCGGTTTCTTTGATTTTGGGGCCCCCGAAAGGTACCCGTCCATTGCCTTTCGATAGTGATGAGCACTTTTGATTCGCAAAATTCTCAATTGCATAAATTTGATTCGAATAGCTTCAAAAACCAAAAGCAATCATGTTCAATTATACTTATTATACACTCGAACTGCATTTGAAGAATTCGAGCGAGAGGCAATGCATTTTCAAAAACAATTCACAAATCAAGTCATCTCAGAATTTGTTCACGCGCTGGCTTCGGGTCGCTTAATTTTTTTTTACGAAACCAACGGATACCGATTAGATTTCAAGTATGCTCATCAAATTTTCTAAATTTTCCTGGTCTAGCTACAATTATGATAGACGAGTCCCTAAAATTAAGATGGGTCCTGTAGAAAACTTTTTAGTCCTTAAAATCTTCGAAAACATGGTTCGCTTTTGTTTACTTGCGTTTTTGAAACTGCGAGCCCCATCTTTCATACTTGCTTTTAGGTGGGACCCTACTATCATACTTGTACCCTGATCTATTTCACAATTCCATCCTAGTACAATTAAGAGTTAAAAACCCGTTAAAAAAGTCTTCTGGTCTCTAATCAATGAAATTATTCTTCTTATTAAAGCTTCTTTTCCCAGAAACTTAAGGACAGATATTTTTGTTCGATTTTAAATAAAAATCAGCTCAAACTTTCAGCTGAAACTTGACATATAAAGTGCTCATAACTGTCGTGCCTTCTTTGTAGTTGTTGAGGAACTCAATAACGGCCCCTTGAAACCACTTTCCATCCAGGGGTCCATCTATCTTCTGCCCCATACTCCTCTTAGTCATGTACACCTGTCTCGCATCCATGTCATACCCTTTCTCGTTCCCGGGGCTGAAATCTCTGGCCAGTATATCACACAAACCTTCAAAAGACTCTTCTCTTTTCATTTATTAACATCAATTTCTCTTTTGTTTATTGATGGCAATTTACAGAAAACGCAAGCTCAACAAAAGTACCCGGTTGCGGCGCACGTAGCTCAGAAAGTTCCTTCTACATAAATGGAAAAAAAGTCTACATTGAAACTACAATGAACAACACTGGCACTTTCATTTAAAAGTTGCTTAAAGCACAAAAAAATTTATGATGTGGCAACTAAGCCGACAATCTTCGAGCAGACACCTTTTGAATAGAAAAAAAATGATTTTATTTTTTTTAATACTGCAAGTCCCTCCCTGAAAAACTACAGTGAAAGTTGCTTACAGCACAAAAAAAATCAGTGATGAGGCTTAGTCGACAAAACTTGAGCAGAAAACGAAAACACGAACAATCCATTGCATAGAAATGCAAAAAAAACAAGACCGGCTAGTCGCAAGCATAAACATCGTTCGAATCACGACTGAAAAGATTTCAATAGGAAGGTCAATAGACCCCTTCTGATGATTATTTCCGGACTTTTCGTGGAAAAATTTGATAAAGCTAAAACACACCCGAATACAAAGTTCCTCTCACTTTCCTTGACTGAAACAAAAACAATGTCGCCTCGTTGATTAACATATCCAAAGTTATTTCGGATTTAGATAAAAATCTCCCACCTTCAAAAAAGGGAGGGAGATTCTTAAGTAGACTAATTTGGTCGATTTTTCGCCCAATCAGAATGCAGCAAAATTAGAACTCTCAGTAGAAAACTCAAGGGCTTTTTTACTGTTTTTATCTATTGGGGTGGAGATCTTTGGTAAATCCGTTATTTCCTTCGAACTTGTAAGAATACCGTCATTCAGATTTCACTTGTATTTTTTTTCAAGTAAGTTCAAAAAATTTATAATAATCAGCTTATAAATCGGCTTAATAATTTTTTTACAGAGGAAAGAAAGCTTCAGCACAGAGGCGAAACAGCTTCGCATCAGTTGCGATACAACAAAAGCGTAGTATTGCAATCTACCAAATAGAAAATGAGACGGAAATAACAAAGTCGAAAAAAATGAGCAATTTTTTTTTGGAAAATGAAAAACTCCATTTCTGAAAAGCGCGCGAGAAACAAAACCACTAGAATTAAACGTGCTTCTAGTATTTACCGATCGGCCACTTAGCCGACAACAGGTGATTGGACGCCCATTGATCTGAAAAAAAAAACGCCAAAAGAAATTGTTGTTATAAAAAACTTAGAGCTATTAAATTGTTTGAACTTTTGATTTTTATACTACAACCTGATTTATTTCAAACAGTAATATTCACTTTTGATTTTAATCCGATAGAAAGTAAGTTCATTAGTCGACAAAACATAAGCGGAAACCATTAAGGCTAATTAAAATTTCTAAGCAAAAATATGCAAGAAAAAAATGAAAATACACCAGTCAGGGTTATAAAACTTTTCAACGACACTTGAGGCTAGAATGGATTTTGTTTACAGCGCCAAAAATCCAAGGTGCGGCAACTGTGCCAACAAAACATAAGCCGACAAACAGTAGTCCGACTATTGAATTTTTATTTTAAGTTGCTCATGTTCGATAACAAAGCAACATCAATTTCTTAGAAATATGTAAGAAAAGTTGTTTACGGGAAAAAAGTCTTCTTCCCGATCACAAGACACTTGTTCATGTAGAGTTAAAATAAGTCCATATATTGATTTGACTCAGAGGAAAGCAATTCCACATACTTCAACACTAAGGCATCAACTAGCCCATGATGGTTTTATGTGCCATGCTATCTTTTGTCCGAAAAACTATATTCAAGTTCTGATCAAAACTCTGTTTGACCTAACGTTTCCGCTACATCGAAAGATAAAGCGTGACTCATTACCGAGACTATAACACTCAGCAAGAAAAAATTAAAGAGACCTTTGTGACTGTAAGTCGTGTTTTCAGCAGCAAACTTGAGAGATGCCTCAGCTATATCCCAGTAACAACTGTTTTCACCCGTCGGTAGCGAATAGAAAGGCGATTTGCTCTCGTATAAAAACTCGGGTGTTTCCTTCACGTTAGCAATATACGACTGTAATTTTGCATTGTCGTAAACCCAATGTAACGGCCTAGCAGCAGCATCCGCAACTGCCGCGCCCAAAACTACACTGATTTTTCTCTGCGCAACACTATCAAGTTTCTTTGCAGAATCCATTAATCCACGCATTGTTTGAGACATAATTTACGACTAAAATAAACTCTAATAAATTATGATAGCCTGTACTGTTCAAACACTCGTTTTATTAAAATGGCTTGAGTGTCGAGCCAAGAGTCATAATAAATCCATGCATGTATACTTAACTATTACAATCTTTTACATAGATTTAATTTAATTCAAACTTTATGGCAGATTAAACACGCAGACTAATGTTAAAAGCTGTCTTTCAAGCCTAAACATTAAACTTGAAAATACTTTTTGGACCAACTCATAATCAAGCAGAAATGACATCGTAGTGTTTTCTAAGATCTAGATTCTCATTTCATTATTTCAGATGTGGCGCTTTTAAATTCGCATATAAACTTGTTTCTCAAAAAAACCTCAACTCAATGGCAGCACCTTGGGGCTTGCTTGGAAAAGTTTCAATTAGAAAAAAATCGAGAAGTGAATCTGAGAGATTACATAGCAATGCTAGTATCTGATTACTACAAAATTATCTGATTACTACATTTATTTAGCAGGAAAAAATTTAAATGGAAATTTTAGAACTGGCGTTTTTAGATTATCTTCCTATATACGCTTACAAGCTAATTTTGGAAATAATCAGTTAAGAAAACGCTGTTTCGAAGAAACTTTCAACTTGTGCAGATTTCCAGCTCATTGATTTTTCCGACAATTTTCATTCCATTTAATGAACATTTCGAAATTGGTATTTTCTAATCAACTCATCCCTCATGTCATCTAAATCCAATAACATCATTCATTTGTCACCTAATATCTTTTTGATGTTCAAAAATACTTTATGACTGGCACTTTTTAGATAAACCTAACCCAATTTGACCGAACTTGATCAAAAGGTAATTTTTTATTTGCTGGGATTTCCGGTGTGCTCATTCCTTAGCACTTCTGCTCTTAGAAATAGTTGTGTTTTCCATTTAAAAAAAATTTTAAATAAACTTAACAAGAATTCAAAAGTCAAACCAGCAAATTCCTTTTTTATGGTAAACGTAATCCTGGAAAAAAGCTCAAACAAAACAAGGATAGCACGCTGCTGTGCAAGTAGCACAGAATGTTCCGACATTCACAAAAAAAAACTACAAAACGAATGTTTTTTTTTATTTTCATTCTAGTGGCATACTCGTGTACCCATGGCTTCAAAATTAAATGGAAGCGCCTTTAGCCGAGGAAGCGCTAAAGGTAGTTTCAAATAACGTTTTCTTCTAAAAAAAAACAAGTTTTCTGAGCCTAAATATCCAATTTTGATATAATAAACGTTTCTCGCTCAAAATTAGACTGAAACTCAAAAACTCAAGCCAGTTTTTCATGAGAGTGGGACAACTTTTGATAACTTTTTAAAGTTCTTCGAATCACGACTGAAAGTATTTAATATGCTATATCACTCGACCCAATCCGATGATTAACTGTGGCACCTGATTTTTGCATCAAAGCTTAATAAAGATTTGATCTCCAAACTTGGGCAAAAACGTTTCAGCAAAAATTGTTCTCTAATAACGCAAAAATGACAATTTTATCCATCAAACAAAAACATTTTATCTCAGCAAAATTGAGAATATTGCACCCATTCTTAAGCCCATTCAGTCTCGCAAAACATCTTGGAATGTAGTCGGACCAGCGAAATTTACAAAAAAGGGGCATTCATGTGGACGCTGACCTCGAGCGAAATTGTGTAATCTTTAGGCAAGAATCACTTGCACGTAAAAATTTGCGACGGATTTCCTAGCCAGTAGAGAACAGCTACAAATTTTTAACTTGGGGCTGGAATCCCGCAATTTTTCCATTTTTGTAGCAAAGACTGCGGTCCACTTTGCGGTCTGGTAAAATTGGAATTCCCCCCAACTTCCAGCTGCACCACAGGTTGTTCGCCATCAGTCAACCACCTACTCACTCAAGATGAATGTATATTTGTTGGAGACTTAAATGCCCTAACCCGGTATGGTATTCCAGTTCCATCACAGCTGCCAGAGGCATCAAACTAGCCACAGAAATAAACAATTCAGACCAAGTCTTCCTGGATGAGAAAGCACACACCAGAGTGACGAATCTGTGTAAAAGCTCTCTGATCATAAGTATGACCAGTTCAAGTATAACCTAAAGTATTGGGTGGTTAACACATCAAGCACTTGGATCTGACCACACACAAACTACTCTCAGCGTTGAATGCGACATTGAACCTACTGAGGCTTCCCAATGTACATTTAGAAACGTCCGCAAGACTGACTGGGACGGGTTTTCACACTCAATTGGTGATAATCTAGCTGAACCTTCTCAGCCAAATGACGTCTACAAAGCTGAGAAATTTTTTTCGAAAACCTGTAAAGAAGCCGGAAATTCATACCTCAAGGATGCATCAAAATGGCAATACCGAATTTACCCAAGAGTCTAAGGAGCTACCCGAAAGCAGAGACTCCCTCAAAGATTCAACCCCCGGAGACCCACTTATCCCTGAAATCAAAAAAAAGGCCTGACACACAAAGGTAATACCAGCAAGCTTTGGAGTACCATGAAATATCTGTCGACAAACAGCAAACTTTGCGCGCCCAATCAAGCCATTTACTTTGATGAGGAAAGAAACTTACCCATTTTTGACGACAAAAATGTGCCAAGAAACGTAATCAGCAGTTCAGCCCACACTCCATATCAATTACTTGAGAGCGTTGCCACGAGCTAAGAACTGGGAGGAGTTTAAAAAATGAAGATAGGGTGTTCAATACCCTCACTGTTGCCATGGCGAATAAAGATTCAAAGAAAAGTAAGGCGCTCAGCCCGGACCATATTTGAGCACATTCACTTGCACTATCTAGGCTTAATTGCCAAACAGTACCTAACAGAGTTCATTAATACATCGGCACAAACAGCTACCGTTCCAAAAGTCTGGAAAGTATGAAGGATTATTCCGCTGCAAAAGCCAGGTAAAACGGTCGTTTCCGACCGATCGCACTGCTTTCCCCAAGTGATAAGGAGATCTAAAGGCTACTGCTGAAGATTTTTTCGATTTTCTAGCAGAACACTAACATGGCTCAAGAGCTGAACATTCATGTACAACAGCTGTGAACATCATTACTAATATCAAGCTAGATCTCAACAAACACAAACCATGTGATCATACCCTTTCAGTATCCGTGGAACTCACCACCGCCTTTGATACGATCGAACTCAATGATACTATTCAATGATGTTTTGAAAGCGGATGTGTGCCCAACGGCACCATACGCTGGAAAACATCATACTCACAGGGTCGGTTCACTTATGATGACTATCGGAAAAAAAGTCGAAACTTCGAAAAGTCAAACCAGAAGTACTACAAGGAGGAGTATTATCACACATGCTCTTTACTATCTACATGAGCAAGCTCCTCTTGCCGCCAGATCGGCTTTCAATTGTTACAAATACTGATGACATAATTCTGATGACTTCAAATGCGAAGGTAGTTGAGCTACAGAGCCAAATCAAACCACACCTTGGAGAACTGCACAGCTGGCACACTAATAGAAATTTGCAACTCTCAGGCGACAAGTCATTTTCAACCATCTTTACAACTTGGACAAAGGCACTATCCTTTTACACCAAGCATGAAATAAACCTTCCTATTCCGCTTAAATCAAAACCCAAACGGCTGGGCGAGGTCTTTGACGGCCTACTTAGTTTCAATGAACACGTCAAAACCATCACTGACAAATTACAAAAGCGGATTAATGTCATCAAAAAAGTTGTCCAGCAATGACTGGAGTTGTTCGAAAGAAATACTGACAGTGACACACAAGGCCATCATGCGCAGTGTGCTTAACTATGGAGCACCAATCTAGTCTCCATCAATAAGTAATACAAACTAGAACAACCTCCAATTTCAACAAAACATCAACCTCAGAACACTAGCTGGTTGTGTGAAGATGTCAAAAATTGATGACCCTCACAGGGAAACAAAAGTCTTGCCTGTAAAGACGCCCACAGATATGCTGGCAAAACAATTTCTAGTAGGATTCCACCAGAGTCACCGCTCCGACTATCAGAGAATCCAACATCCAATTGAACAACTCATCTAACTGACACTGAGCACCACCTACGGTGCTGAAATCCAACAACATCTGAAAGAGGGCTTGATTGGTCGTAAAAACCATCGGAAAGATCTGAAGGTTATCCATCACAACGAGGTTAAAAATTACCACAAACCCTCAAAGCTATTGGAACGTGTACCGCCTCAAATATCTGACAGTGAATTTGAATTACCACGGATAGCGCGCATACGGTTTGGTCAACTTCGCGACGTTCATCATTTATTTAACTGCGCCCGAGACCCGACTGGCTTGACTACTGAAGACCTCCGGCTTCGTCTCATCGAAGTTACTGAGTTCCTCAGACTTCATATTCTGAGGTAGCGGGAGAGCTGAACTCCCTTTAAAAATCAAATCTCAGTCAACTTACGACGAAGATGCTGACTTCTAAACAGCACAAATCGACAACGACGAAGAGCTGAATTCAAAATATGAATCAGCAATAAGTAAACGAGTCCAGAGCTTAAACGGTATTCATTTAAATACACAAATGGCATACCCCAACTATTTTGCCGGATACAAGGGCACTGAGCAGGGACTAGCGAAAAATCCAATCAACCTTCATCTTACGGAGGTAAAGTGCTGGAAAACGATAGCAACCTCGAACCAAATCAAAATAAAGCTAATTTCACAAAATCCCGCGTAGCTACCACAACAACAGGGCGCGTTTTCTATATAAAAAACAGACAATTGCTAAAACTGCAGATTTTTAATTACTAAGAGGCAGCTAAAAATAAGCATCCTTTTATTGAAGTACTAAGAGGCAGCTAAAAATAAGCATCTTTTTATTGAAGTTCAAAGCCAACGTTTCTCGGAAAAATTATAAAAATGAAAAATGTGTCTTATTAAGTTTAACTTTTGATTCAAAAAATGGCTCAATCCTCCCATCTTTTAACTGGCTTGCAAATAAAATTGATATCAAGACAAGTTAATCATGAGTCTCCAAAAATCTATAGAACACAGTGGCTAAGCTGAGCTGCACGCCAACATAGGGTCAACGGCTGCTATATATCTAGTATATGCAAGTTATAATACACAAATCGGTTAAACAGACAGAACTTAACTCGGCAACCATGAAGCCGAAAAAATCATCAGCAAAAAAATCTTTTTTCTAAAATTATTCATACCAAGGTTAGAAATCTAGATGGGGAATTTACCAATATCTAGTACCATTAGTAGCCAGCAGTTGAACTTGTGTTTTCAGTAGTTGAGCATGTAAGCAACACAGGAGCACGAACTATTCAGTTAATTTTTATAAACAAGTTGTTAACCCGAGAAAAGTCATTCTTCCGGTTTCATAACGCTTGCTCAGTAGTTGAGCATGTAAGCAACCCAGGAGCACAAACTAGTCAGTTAATTTTTATAAACAAGTTGTTAACCCGAGAAAAGTCATTCTTCCGGCAAGCAACTCTACGGCGGAATTATGAAGAAAATTTTGGAGAAGTCACAAGAAAAGTCTTACAAAATGGTGCTAATTATTGGAGTGCTTTCCGTCATTTCGTAACTTGTTCCTTACACAGAGGTGAAGCGGAGCTTCGCACCACTTGCGATACAAGACAAACACAAAAAAAATGAAAAATTTTGGAAAAAAGAAGGACTGCCAAAACTTTCGTATGTCTCGATAGATGTTCATTCTAGGCAAACATCCAGTCATTTGAATATGAAAACTTAGCCAACAGGCAGCTGGAAAAGAGTCAATGAACGCAAGTTAACACAGACTTTTTATTGAAAAAATTGTAAATTTCGAATTCTTGTCCTTTTCGAATACTGAAAAAAACAACTTCCAGCCGAAACTCGCAGCCCCAAATCTTACAGTTCAAAGACGAAGTCGCTACCCCCTAGTTAAGTGGGAAGGAACCAGGAAGAAGATGTAGTCCAATAATTAAAAGATTTATAAAGAGAATGCAGAAATTGTAAGCGTTGTTTACGGGGAAAACGTCTAGTTCCCGACTACAAAACACTTGATGGTGCAAGTTTAATAATACATTAGCTATTGAAATTATTAAAGCGTTCCAAAAAAAGTCTCGGGTCACAAAACACCTCCGCGTGTAAAAACAATTCTTGCAGCACCAATCAGAACCAATTTGGTTGGAACCCCACATCGATCAAGAAGGACAGGCTACGTCAAAATCGATGATATCAACATCCCCTACTACGGAGGTAAGGCGCAAGATAGTTAGGGGGACATATCGCAGGGGACAAATTATTACAATTCAACAACTTCTTGTCACCTATCATTGAATTAAATCAAACTTTAAATTAAACAAGAGTTGACTTTGAAAAACCATTTTTCTTGTTTCATTTCAATTTGGTGTTTTTTTTTGTGCATGGTGAAGAATCAAACGAAAGCTTAAAACATAAGTAATTTACTGATACTCGACACCAGTTTTCGAAAATTGAACACAAAAACATCTTTCCACATCTTTTTTTGATTCAAAAAAACTTTCTACTGCCAACGAAGCTTTAAATAAGGAGTCAAAAATCAATTTTGAACGCTTTAACTAAGGCTTTTTGTGTCAGTATGAGACCTATAATAGCCTAAATAATAGCCAAAAATAGATCGAAATTGGACGAAAACGCAAAAAATTCGAACCGATTTGCATCGAAACCAAACTAACGTATCGGTAGCAGGCCGACAATAAAATGCTAATTGCTGGAAGAATTATCGAATGCATAATAATTTTGAGCTCATAAATCGACAAGTTTTAGTAGGTTTTCAAAAAAATGCAACAGAAGTTCCGCAAAAAATTGTGTCCATTACTTCTACTAATGTCAATCAGACGGGCTTAAGAGGGTGATTTAGATTTTTCAAAAACTCCTCGTTAGAGTTCAATCGTTACAAAACCAACAAAAATTGATAGGAAAAAATATAAGGAAAAAAACCGACCGACCTGTGCCAAAATCTACCATTTTTGGATTCGACAAAAATTAAGTTGCACTTCTTAACGTAAACACAAGGCACATATGCAGCCAAAACAGTAACTGCATCGACTGTACCCATATTAAGAAAACGAAAAAACCAAAAAAAAATTACTTTGATATTCAGACATGCTCAAATTATGTCTGTTGTGGACGATATCATTTATATCATATAAATTATTTTGTTTAACAAGTCAAACTTGAAAAAAGTCTTCGGTCCGATTTGATAACGATTGCAAATCGCAAGCGAATAATAATAGACATTACAAATTGAGTAAATGTTAGGACTAGGAGGAGCGGAATTGTGGGAGCGCGGAATCCGGATGCCCTCTCTTCATGGATTCCAAAGGCTGACTCTCCTTTGGTACAATTTTTAACTATATTTTATTTAAGAATAATTTCGACGAGGGACCCTTATATATTTCCGACATTTTTATCAACTGGTAATGTATCCTAATTTTGAGGGGGGAGCGCACACCTATGATTTTTTCGGTCGGAAATTTAGCAAATGCTCAAAACCGTCAATTTTGACTATTTACATAATAAATTGGCTTCAGACGCAAAATTTCAAGGCCAGGCGAAAAAAAGGGTCTTTTCGGTGTTTTCGAAGAGCTCGGAAAATCAGATTGGTCTACCTAAAAAAAATAATGATTCCGAAAACTTTCTCCAAACCCTCCTCGCTCGAGAAAAGACGAGTTCCGCCCTGTATAATAAGTTAGATGCAAAAAAGATGGGGATTGTTAAGTAGATCCTCATATTTTCACCCGATCTAGATCAAGATATTTAATTTGTCTACTGACTTTACAACATTGAAAAATCGTTGACTTTCTAAGTAAGTTGCTTCGCGACATATATTCACTGTGCGCTTGTGTGACTACTACGGGCGAGAAATGGTCAGAGTAATGCTCAAAAACCTGCTCAATATTGCGCAAATTCTACACAGTATTTGCGCTGGACAAGTTAAATATTCCACCTTAAAAACCATTATTCCAGGCTTTAAAAAACCTTATTGCAACTTAAAACGTTAAGAAATAAAAATTTCAATTAAAATTGCGTCCATTTCTCAATAATTACAATCTAATTTAGCGGTTAGGTTCCTACAATTTCCTCGATTTCATAACATCTACTTGCATAGGAACCTAACAACAGAGCAGTAGACTTTATTAATTCAAGTACGCATTTCTTCTATAGTTATGACGCATGAAACTAACTTCCAATGTATCAACTACGGGTTAAGTGGTTCAAATTTGGTTAACATTAAAATATAACTAAGATTCGGTATTTTAAAATTAGTCCAATAGATCATCCCGCTCCGAAATCCAATTCAAGTTTATCGCAGTGGTTCGAAAGAGTTGATCAAATCTTTCACGACGGACTGAAGATTATACTCGTGTTTGATCAACAACTGTCGGTTCATTTCACGATCACCGAAGCCGAGTTTCGTCAGTCGGTCCAACAATGATCGTTCCTCGCTCGCTGAAACTCGAATGGTTCCTTTTGGCGACTCGGGAATATCACCCGACGACTCCAAGTCGTCATTCTCGTCGGAACTTCCGTTGGCTTCGGTTGCATTTTCCGGGTGTTCCGTATCTTCTTGATCCGATCCATCATGATCATCTTCACGGAACTCCTCTGACCTTGGTCTTACAGCTCGCTCCGTGTCTTCGTGAATTTCATTCAAAACCACAGTGTTAATACTTGTCAGCTCGAGCGACGTATCATTTGCATTCTCGTCATCGTGAACTACATAATCATCTTCGGAATTTTCGGCATCTCCGATTGATCCAGTTTCGGAGCCAACATTCGAGTACTCTTCGTTATCCTTACACAAATCTCCCAGAGCGTTAACATACTCTTGTTTTGCGGTCGAGGTTTCCGATTCGGCCTTTTGATGCAGAAAGCTGCTTTGCAATGCCGGCACTCGGTTTAGATCGAAGCAGTCTGGAAGCGGAATGAAAGTGAAGTCCTCAACTTGTTCACAGTCGTCCGAGGAATCGTAAATGGTTTCATCGTCGCATGTTGAAGTCACGTCGTCATCGTAATCCTGGTCGAATTCGCCCTCTTGCTCATCTTGAGGAACTTCTGGAGCCTTTTCAGTGTAATTATTTTCATTTTCAGCCACGTTATTACTCTCCTCGGCAAACTTGAAAGGGTCGTCAATAACATTTACAGTACAAACCAAGGGATGGTTATCAGTGAAATCCTCATTTTCTTCAGGCGATTTCAAGACGAATCTCAACTCGTAGACTCCACAGGTGCTCGGTGCGACAAACTCCACGCCAATACTTTCAACTTGTCGAACATTCAGACTCGGAACTTTACTTCTTACGACCTGGAACAACTCAGTGAAATTCTCGAGGTGAACTTGGACTTTCATGGGCCACTTGGAGTTTCCAGAGTTATAAACAAACCATCTTTTCTGGACCTCAACTCCTGGAATTACACGGACCTCAGCTGACTTATTTTCGTGAAACAATACAGTGTAAAAATATTGAGCCAGCTCATTATTTTGACGAGGTTCTGCGTCAATTTCAGAGCAGACAGCTGGTCGCGTTTCCTCGTTGATGCTTTCTTCCGATACTGTTTCTTGTGTTTGATCTGCGTTTACGTCTTCTTCAATCGATTCCGAAGATTCTTTTTCGGTCTGAATTTCCTCGCTCGCAGTAGTTGCAGAATCTGTCTGTGCGGAAGTACCAACAACACCCATGGAGATCCTTTTGCATTGTTCAAGATATTGGTCAACCAATCCGGGCAGTTGCTCTCTCACAAACTCAATCAGTTCCTCGCGATTCAAAATCCCGTTTTGCACAGGAATAGTAGCTTCAGTTATCAACTGGCAAACTGTCGGTTTATCGGCGGTCTCCTTTTTAGCCTGTGCGAATGTATCTTTCATTTCAACAGAGTCAGTTTGAGAGGAGGTAACAGTCGCTTCCGTGACTGAACTCTGAGAACTTTTGTGACATCGTGACTCACTTTCACCGGTACCAGTTGAAGAGGAATCGGTTGTAAAAGCAGCCAATTGTTCAGTAACTTTCAAGCAAACTTCATTTTCTTCCTTTTTGCTATCCTCAGACAACGGCTTTTCTTGCTCTTTCTGCTCCTGCTCTGACGTAGACTCTGGTTCCTTATTTTCATCTTGGGTCGAATCCGCTTTTGCCTTCTGAGAAGAGGGCTCTAGCATTTGTTTCTCGTCAACCTTGTAAATGGCAGCAGCGAAATCGAGTAGAGAGAAGTCAACCTTGCCATGTAGATTGGGTTTGTAGTGGTGCTTCGGCGAGAAGAGCAAATTCACCTGCGCGTTTTGCTCCTTTTCCACGAAAACAATCTAAAGAGAACTGCAATATAGTGGGAAAGAAATGAACTCACAAAAATGAAATCAGTCAAAGACAAGTGCAATCGTTTGCAAAACAAGGGGGAAACGCGCAGAAAAAAAAACAGAACACACACAATTCTCAACCTTGTTTTTCTGAGAAATAGATTTCGCTTCATATCGAACAGTTCAATTTACATGTTCAAAAACTAATTTGTCGTCTAAATGTCTTGTCGTTTTAATGTCCTGACGTCTTATTTACCTAGCACCCTGCAAACAATGCATTATTAGTATTACAATAGGGCCTTAAAAGTGTTTTGAGAGAGCTCGGTATTTATAACCCAATCGGTAATTGAAATCTGTTAGAGAGCGCTCGGTAGTTATAACCCAATCGGTAATTGAAAACTGTTAAACTCTATATCTGATTTATTATAGTAAAATATATGACGTGGGTGTTTCGAAATGGGGCTGGCAATAGCAGTTCGTTAATTTTTAAAAATCATACCCTCAGAGAATTTTTGATAACTTCTCTCCATTCCCTTTCACTCGACAGACGCACAAGGTCGCCTTCTTGGTCTTCGTAGTACAAAAATGCACTCAATTTCAAATTAACCGAGTATATCTTCCTCAAAAGCCTCATTAGGTTTCCGAGTCCAGGATAGGGAATGGAATCTGCTGCTGTTCCGGGCTTAACCGGCAAACTTTCTTTCGGCGGATTCTTGTATAGGATTCTGTTGAAAGTCTCGTTTCTGATTTTTCCATTGACAGCAGCGTCACCACCATAAGTCAATTGCCTCATCACAACATCAAATTGGTAAACCACGTCCATTGTTCTGTCTAAAAACTGAAAAAACAAACGTGCGTAAGATTAAACAAAAAATTGAACAGAAAAATAAAGTAGAAGAAAATTATGTTCAGTATGAAGTAGTACTGAGCTCAGTTTTCACTGCAAAGAATCATTATGCTGTAATTTAATGTCTGGTATGACAGTATAGCTCAAACTTGGTTCTCATGTTTATGGCGTCACTCTATAAATAAATTCTATTGCCTTTACGTCACACTTCAATATGATAAATGGTATACATTATTTTGAACAAAATGCTTTGGAAAAGAAACAATTCGGTTGTATTATTGTTGCATCAAATTTCGCAGTAACAAAATAATTGCAAATGAAACTTGTGTACATAATCATTTAAGGGTGAAAAACCTTGTTTCAGCCATTGATTATCCTAAGACTCTCCAGATTAGATGACGATCAATAACATTTCCGAGAGCCGAAGAACACGAGTGCTGAAAAAAGTGTTCACGTCTGCCAAAAATAATTTTCTAATTAAGGTTTTACAATGATTAAAGAAAAGATCAAGCTGTAAAAACTAAATAGCAAAACAAAGAGAAAGCGGGGCAATACAGTAAGACCGAAAGTAAAATTTTACACAGTGGCAAACATCATTCCGACTACTCAGTCCAAACAAGGCTGCTCGTATATCAGGGCAAAGCCCTGAATGTTCCGACTATGCCCCCTTAATCCATATCGAATAGCTTGTAGGAAAGAAAATAAAATACTGAAAATCTATAAACTTTGGACAGTACATCAAAGATCAAGTGTGAAAATTTGAGACGTATGAAATTGATACGATCGATTAGCTATAGCCTCAATTCATTTTGGAACGATTTTGCTGTGCGGGATAAATCGCCAGGCATGAATAATACTTACAAGCCTGTCTCCGATGATTAATCGGCTCGCCAAGCATTATTTGTTGCTCTTATCAAGCTATTCAAGGCAAATGCTATCGTTTGTTATCAAGCTATTTCAAAAATTTTAAAAGTCAAAGAACGATTCAGTCCGGGAAAGTTTTTCTACACTGTTTCAGCTATAAAACTTCGAAACAAATTTACTAAGCAACGTATTCAGGTATGAGTTTCTGAACTATTTCAAATTATGTCGTGAAGAGAATCGGCAGGGAATGTTCAAGTTTTTCTATTGGATTCATTGAACCGATGAAATTTTGATAAAAATTTTCAACTTGTTTCAAAGACTGAATCGAAAATTTTATATTTTTTAGCAAGCCAATCAAGTAATATTTCAAGTTATTTCATAGCGCGAATCGGTTTGCTAAAAAATAATTTTTCTAAGCGTGGAGGTTGCTATTTTTAGTTGATTTTGATCAGACTAAAATGAATCTGCAAACAGATGAATCTGCAAACATTTTTCTTTGGTAAAATCGTGCAACTACTGTCTAGCCTCGAAGCTGAATCGAGTTGTTGGATCGGGAAACTTGTTTAAATACTCTTGAATGATTAAAAGATCTAGAAAATTCTTGCCTGAATGCCTCTCAAACATTGAGCTCGATGGTTGCTCTGAATTAATTTTAAACATTCTGATCTAACGATTCTTAAACGTTGTGCTTGATGGAAAAGTTAAAACGTTGCGTTCATAGCGCATTAAGACTTTCATATAATCTAAAAGCTGCGTTACGCTTTCAATAGTATGAATAAAACATTCCAATCGCACAGAAATTAATCCAGAGCATGGCCAAATTGGTAATTGTCAACATCCAGAACTTTTCAAAAAATGATCGTAGTTAAAATATCTTTTTACATTTGATTTCAGCAAGTCGTTATCATAAATGGGATATAAAAATTATTTGTTAAAAACTGTTATTTCGATCGCCGAAAATTGACTGAATAAAAAAACCACATCGAGCATAAATATTCCGTTTTCTTCGAAAGTCGGAACAATAACTCATGAGTAATTGACCTCAAATTCGCAGAAGATAAAACAACTGCCCATTTCAATTAATGCGACTTGTCTTAAGTTCCCCGAGCGCGGCGTCATACATGTTACTGAACAAACTAAGCAATTGTCAAAGTTATAAATGTGAAAGAGGAGTCCGAAGAAACTAACCGGGTCCTTAATGTAAAAAGAGTTCCTCAACATTTTTTAATTAAGTGGCTTTGATGCTCATAATTAAAGTATCAAATAAGTATTTGGAAATGAGGCAGGTTAATTACGCTGGAGGAAAAATTTTGAAATGACTGACCGGCGCATATTGATTAGTTAATTGCTGTTTCAGCTTAAAATTTATAAATTATTTATCAAATGTATAATTTCATCAAGTTTTTTAATTGAAAAAATCTCGATGAAATTACTCAAATTATGCACAAAAAATTAGTTTCTTCGGTAATATTGACTATCATTATACTTAACTTACCAATCAGCTTATATAAGTTACTATTTTTTTGCTCTTGGACCATTCTGCTTATTGACTGGCCACCGTTTTTACATAACGAACCATTTAAATTACTTTTCTGAGAAATACAAAACGCGAAATAATTGTCTTAAAAAATTTTCTTAAAAATACAAAACGGAAATTTTAACAATTAAACACGCATCAACCACTATTTCAGAAAATAACTATTTCTCAGAAACACGATAATAATCCGTTCAAATTAAAATTCGTACTTCTCAGAAATTGACAATAGCAAATGTTGCAAACACGAAGTTAAGATCAGAATATCATTATATATAGGACTATGATGGCGACCGGCAAATAAGACGACAGCCGTTAAGACGGCAACCGTTTCTAATGTGACTTTGAGACGACGTTACACGCAATTCTCCACATGGTATTTCTGAGAAATTAAACCGTTTAAATTCGACCTGCTCATTTTACATGTAGTAACATCGTCCTATTTACCCAGCACTGTCGTCGTATTTACCTAGCACGGACTATGATCCTGGAAAACTATGAAAACAGTGGTGTGCGCAGGAACTTTTTCAATGAGGGGATCTGGGTTCGAGGGGCGTCGATTTATTTGATTAAAAAAAAATTTCAACTTTTTTAGGTCAGTAATTTCAAAATTTGCTGCTGTATGATTTGAAATAATTATGCATCGCATTTGACGTCGCATTGCTTTGATATGTTTTTAATCATCTGAAGTTGAAATTTCCTTAAAACTTAGTCGATACAATTTCAGTTTTGAAACTTTTATGCTAGTCACTACACCGCCAATTTAGACATTTCTGAAAAGCTAAAACTTATAGAGCTGAGACAAAACTGAACTAATATCGGCTAAGACTCGAAGGAAAACAATCAATGTGAAAGATTTCGATCCATTATAGATCACTATCAGACTGAACTAAAGCAAACATTCACGTGTACAAACCTAAGTACCTGGCAAAAAAAAACGATTTTATGAATAAATAACAAAACATCTAGCAAAAATGATGTTACCTTTCATTTTTTGCTATATGTTTTGTTATTTATTCATTAACTTGTATTTTACCAGATACATAGGTTTGTACACGTGAATGTTTGCTTTAGTTTGGTCTGATAGAAAAAAATTTTTTAAAGTCACCAGGTAGATGAGACAAAACATTCAACCCGGATGGTGAGAAACTATCGGGTAAAAAAATGTTTACGGCCTACAATTGACTTTCAGTTGAGCTTTCGAAATGATAGTTATTCAAGTCAGCTGTTAAATTACATTTCAAAAAGGTAAGATAATAATTGAATTTAAAGTGTTATAATAAGTTGGGACTAATAATTTCATCGGTTTTCGTATAGTATTCTCTTGAGTATTTTTGTATAGTATTCTCTTGAGTATCTCACAAACATAGCATGGCAAGCTAGCAGCCAGAAAAATAGAAGAAACATACCAAACTGAAAATATCGCCCAGCCTGTGTACAGGGTTTCTCGAAGGCACAATTTTTTCAACCAAGTATCGAATAAGAGAATTCTATCATTCAAAAATACTTTTAACGAAAAACATGGATATCAGGAAAGGAATCAACAAGACATCCATGTTTTTCAACAAGACATCCATGATTAAATTTTAACAAACAAATCAACCAACGAAATTTCAACAAATATAAGACACCTCTATTAGACTGGGAAATTAAAATGCAGACATGCTCAAAACATGTGTTGAGGGACCAAAGTACAGATCGGAAGATCAACAAAAGATTTAGATCATGTGAACGAAGTTATTTACGGGAAAAAAAACGTGTACCCGGTTGGAATACCCTTGCTTATCGCAGGGGTAAAAATCGTAAAGACATCAAAGTATTTTTTTTCAATTATTTCGGTATTTTTTCTAGAAAAATGCGATTACATTAGGCGAACAATGCAAGAAAGAGCAGAAACCATAGTTTAAACAACGTTGAAATTGAATTTTTTTTTGATAAAAAACTAAATTACAAAAGGGGCCCTTCCGTTTAGTTACGGTAAGTGCACAAGCTGGATAGGGCCATACCAGCGATATAAAAATGCATATAAATCAGCAATGAAGTCATAAATCAGCATTAAATGAATCGTCGTAATGTTAATTTATCTTAGCCGTCCTTCCTCTACATTAGCGCTTATGGAGTTGTCGATAAATTGAAATGCACATGTGAGTGGGGTTTTGGTTGGTTCAGCATTATTACAGTATTTTAAGACTTTTTCCTTTAAAAAAATTTCAATTTCAAACCGGCACGTTGAAATTGAATTGTAGCATTACTAACTTGGAAGGCCAATTATGTGCCCAGCTACAGCTAGAGGTGCCGGTTTGATATTTTTTGAATTTATTGTAGTTATGCGGGAAATAGAAATTTTCAAATTCAAAAATAATGAATGTTTTGATAATTTGTAATTTTCCCTAAGTCATCAGATTTGGGTTGGTAGTTTTCGAGTTGAGCCAAAAAAATTTCAAACAAACGGTCAAAAAATTAAACTGTGTATTTTCAGAGGGCTATAAAGTTTTGTGCTGATATATGGGAGCTTCGCACAACCGTTCTTTTGATTGAACCCAAAACTCGGGTTTGAAAGGGTAGTTTTCGAGAAAAGTCGAAAATTTTTCAAAAAACGGTCAAAAAATCAAGTATTTGACTTTTACGAGAACCATTTATTGTGGGCGTAGCCACTAATGCAGGAGAGCTTCTCACAACCCTTTCTCTGCATTGAATCCATAATCTCCGATTTGGGAGGGTAGTTCTCGAGAAAAGTC